TCCACATAAACCTTTCACAATAAAGCTCAAGATCCTGTTGAGACTTTTCAAAATAAACTGAATCACGTGAAAGAGCAGAATATTTACGGATGAGACGCAAAAAAAGAGCCGCCACATGCTAAAAAATAAACCGTAGACTCAAACGTTAGAACAGACCTTTCCCCGCAGCACGCCGTGTAATAAGTCCTCACAAAGAAAACGGCGGCTGTTACAACTTATGTCTAAAAATATATAATTTCATCCATCCATCCTTCCGCTTATCCTTTTCAGGGTCGCGGGGGGCACAATTGGCTAATTATGCTGTTTATCTTGCTGTTTAATAATGTATACAGCAAGAATTATAATTAACTAAGTAAAATTTAATATCAAACATACATACTGCCCTCCTGAGCTAACGTAAGCTTTTAGCTCTAGCTGTCTTTAGCTTTAGGGATTTTATTTATCATCATGATAATATCAACTGCTTCATATACCAAATACTTTATAAACGAAGTCTCTACAAAATGTATTTAAAAAGTGATTTGAAAGAAGCACAGATTCAGCACTCCTTATCTGCTCAGGCAGGTCATGAAAAAGCTGAGTAGCCCTGGTGGCAAAAGCACGGCTGGATTTAAGCCGCTGCCTTAAAACAGCCAGAAAAGCTCCAACTGAGGAGCTGGAAGCTGCAGACGGGCTCTTATGGGGTTAATATTTCTGCCACGTAGCTCGGGGCCAGACCTAGATGTGTTTTAGAAGTGCAAAGCAAAATCTCCAAATGAATTCTGAAAACTTACGGAGGGCCAGCGGAGAGAAGAAGAAGGGTGAGGGTTTGTCCTAAAACTCGGATCTTTACTCTGGTGTATTGAAATTTTTGCTTCATGGCAGAAAAGAGGGAGAAAAACCATAAACGTGTGTTTGCCTGTTCAGGGCAGAGCGTGAAAGCGCTGGTTTCATCTGCACGTGGTTCCTGGACCAGAGTCGGTGTTTCCAACATGCTATAAAAGGCTTTAACATAGAATCAGGGAGGCAGAATGTATTCTTCTGTTTGGCTTCAAGAAATCTTCTGGACAGTTTTCCATGAATGGGAATCCTGACGAGTGACTGCAGTGCTTTCCTCAAAGCCAGCTGTGGCAGAGGTTTCTCAGCTTGGCTTCTTTAGCGTTTGTAAAGGTGAAGAGAGGAGCAGC